CAAAGGAAGCTAAGGTAGTTGTGAACTAAGACTTCAGGTGAACATGATATTGTCAAAATTCTTTCAGATTTCTCCTCTCTCTCTTACCTGCTGTATTCCAGTTGCTCCAAGGAAAAGATGTGCTTGTTGAAATACTCCTGAAGCTTCTCATTTGCATAGTTAATATTGAACTGCTCAAAACGGTTTACCTAAAGAGAGAAGAATTTTTAAAAAATGCATACACATCAAGTATTTTACTTCGCAAACAAGGGAATGGGTTAGGTAATAACATGTTTAAAAATCAAGTTCCAAAGAAGATGACAAAAATGTGTAAAGCATAAATAAATAAAGCATAAATATCAGACAATCCATTTGAATAAGCTTTTGAAACCTACCTCAAAGTTTTCAAATCCAAATATGTCCAAAATTCCAATAGTCTTGAAGTCTTCCTTGCTCCTGATTCTGCTATTGATTTTCTTAATGACCCACGCAAAACACTGAGAATAAAGTGCCATAGCCATAGAATCTCTGCTGTCTATTGCCTGTGTTAAAGAGGGAATACACAACACATCAACTATGACTGAGAACTCACAAGACTCTGCTGCTCAGTGTCCTTAGCACAGCACAAAACAATGCATAATGCAAGCAGCTTCCTACTCCTGTGTAGCTTGGCAGCAATTGTAGCAGCACTTACAAAGCATCATGTTTAACAGTTTAACTTAAAACAACTGCAACTTTAAAATGTGGCTTTAAAATTATGCTTCAGGGCTAAAGCATTCAAAAAACTAGGAAATTATAAACTTCAGGTGTGGAGGAAGGAAAGAGAAGTGTAGGAAACAATATCTTAATTCACCCTTTTCTAGAGGGAAACAATGTTATGCATACCTATTTCTAATTATCTTCTTGTATAAATTATAAAAATATTTCTCCTGAAAATTTGGCAAAAACATCCCCCTGACACAAGTGTCCATAGTGAAAAAAATATCAGCCTACATGTTTAGAATTTGAAAAAAATGGGAAGTAATCAGTATTCATAAAAATAACAAGAGACAAGCTATAAGCCCTGGCCAGAACAATAGGATGGGATCTAAAGAGATTATATCCTTCCCAAAAAACCTATGTAATATTTTTGATTACAACTGTGATGCATGAGCTAAGCTTCTGTTCTTGAGTGATCAGTGATTTCTCTAGACTTGAAGACTAAGACACCTTTCAAAGACCCTAAAAACGTGTCAAAATTGAGATGCCTTTACCTGTTGTATACTAAGAGGTGTTAGGATTTCTTCGCCCCTGAGAATCATCGACCTCTGAGTCAATGCTTCTGTTAGCTGTGTGGAGTCCAACCCCAGTAACTCAGCAGATCGACCCAGGGCTGGCAAAAGAGAAAGACAAATATAAATATGTCCTCAAATATATAAAGCTATGAAACCAATTTG